ACTCGCCTGACCCGGATAATATTTGTTCACGCAATCTATCATATACACGAGCAGGAGGGGGAGTTTATGTGGAGTTTACTTTCGAAGGTGCTCTTCCTCCATTCGGAACAAACAATACTGAACAACTTGCCTATCAGAACGACAACAATTATATAATTGAAGGATGTACTTTTGAAGAAAACTTGGCCCCCGAACAATGTTTTGAGAACAAGATTGAGTTCCCTTCGGGAAATGATCATATGCCATTCGGTCGTGGGGGAGGGTTTTCACTATTTGTCAAGGGTACCACCATGAACAATAACCTAGTGATTCAAAATTGCGCATTCAAAAACAATCAAGCTGTTTGGGGAGCCGGATTTTTTGTGGAATTCCAAGACAAAACACAGAACAATTCCTTGTCTATTACTGGATGTAGGTTTTTAGGCAACTCTAAAAGCACCGCTGGAGGAGCTGTAAGGTCGGGGTTTGCTATTTGGCCCGGCAAAGAAAAATTTTATCCTAACAAAATTCTTCACGAAAATTGTACCTACGAAAATAACATGGCAATATTTGGAGGGGGTGTTTCCCACTATGGACCATATTTTCACCCAGTTGATACAGAAGATAACTGTCGAAAGGTCATTTTTAGAAGGTGCAGGTGGACGAACAACAAAGCAACTCTAGGCTCRGCTATTGGGCTTTCAACTGCTACAATGGATCTAGCTTTGAATAATATTAACCCTAACTTCAAAGAACCCATTCTTCCTTACATTGTTTGCCTTGAAAACTGCAGTCTTATCGGTAATGAGATCATACGAACTGAAGACGACTTTGTTATTGGTCAGGGCGCGCTTTATACGTACTCCGTTCCCGTCTTTCTTCAAGGATCAACCAAGTTTGACTCGAACAAACAAACAGCTCTGGTTTTAGATTCGGCAATTCTTAAAGTTTTCGGTAATGCATCATTTACGAATAACAGTGGTCTTCAAGGAGGTGCTGTTGGCATGTATGGCATGTCTATCATTGATTTGATGCCGGCTTCAAATATGTATTTCAAAGGTAACAAGGCAACTGGTAAGGGGGGCGCAATTTACGTAAACGTCGGCGGTCCACCAGTTGTCGCCTTCAATACAACCGAACTTAATACCCATGGATGTTTTCTCTCGTATAACGACACAATCACACTTGAACATGTTAACCAGTGGGACACGAATCTCACGTTTGAATCAAACGATGCGTCAGATGGTGGAGGGAAATCCATTTACGCAACCACGTTACAAGGCTGTCGCRAAGTGGGAGAKRAAAGGATTAACAATCAYTCYCTSCAGTGGRACTTTGTGAAGTATATAAACGAACATGGCGGTCAAGGAAACATTTCAGAAGAAATATCAACAGATCCTATTAAAATAGAGATCATTGAGAAGGAATGGGAACGATCCCCAGGTGAGGAATTTTCTGCATCTATTAAACTAATTGATGAAAAAGGAAGTCTCGTGCAAGGTGTTGTAARCCTATCAATAGATKCTTCAGATCCTAATGATGCTAGACTAGGTACCTCTTCACCACTACTACTGATAAAAAACATAGAACACAATGATACTGTAGTGTCTGGTCTGGTGTTGAATGGGAAGAATGGTGGCATGTTCAATTTGACTTTAAGAACGGTCAGTGGACAAACCATTAGTAMAACGAATAACAAAACCCTGAGACTCTCCGACTGTAACCAAGGATTTCATATAAACGAAGCAGAAGGCGAATGTATTTGCTCGAAAAAACAGCTGATTGGGATTTCTAGGTGCAGTGATGACAGGAAAACAGTGTACTTGAAGACGGGCTACTGGGGAGGTAATGTCCCTCATGGAACATTTGACACATACTCGTGTCCACACGGACATTGTAATAAAACTACAACTAATACAACAAAAAGAGACTTTCCACTTAAAAGAAATCAACTGTGTGCAAAGAATAGAAATGAAAACATCCCCCTCTGTGGAGAATGTCTRTCGAATTATACCGTGCTTCTGGGAAGTGAAGAATGTGTCGAAACGTCTCAAGAGTGCAGTAATCAACATGCCTGGCTTTTATTAGTTTTCTTTTTAGTGATACTGGTATTTGTGTTGCTGGTGCTCAAGATAAACCTCGACATCTTCACYGCTTATCTGAACTCGTGGCTGTACTCTTATCAGATAATGGGATACCTTTTGCAGACGAATACACAGCTCAGTGATAATGATCCATTCATATCGTTTGTCATTGGACTTGCCAACTGGAGACTCCAAGGAGTTGGTATTTGTTTCTATCCTGGATTAACAAACTTCTACAAACTGGGCCTCTATTATATCCTTCCATTCTATACTCTTTTCCTTTTGTTGGTATTGTCTAGGGTAGCAAGGTGTTTTCCTCGTTGGTACATCGGCAGGAACGTATCCCACGCTCTGTGCAATCTGTTAGTGTTTTGCTATACTGACATCACCACAATATCCTTCAACATCCTTCATTACGTGAAGGTTGGTAGCGAATGGGTGTTGTATTTAGACGGGAATATCAACTTCTCTGACGACTGGAAAACTCACTTGCCATTCACGATCCTTGCCATCATTTTACTGCTATTTGTKGCTCTCCTCCCTGTCGTTCTGGTGTTTACACCTTGGTTCTCCGGGAAGTTTCCTTGTCTTAACGGATACCTATTATTCTTCGACATTTTCCAAAACTGTTTTGAAGACCAAGAGAAGCAGAGAAATAATCGTTGGTTTGCTGGCTTCTACTTCAYATGCAGGATCTGGATTCTTCTTATGGCGTTGTTCCTTCCTCTTGGTCCGTTGAAGAGATCCATCCTGGAAGCCTCTTGTATCCTGATTTTGGGCATCTTTCTATATTTACAGCCCTACAATACAAGATACAATTGGCTGAATACTCTAGATGCTTTGCTGTTGACAAACCTTTGCCTCATTACCGTTTTCAGCTCAGCAGTTAATAGCGAGGCTGGTGATTCGACAGTCAAGGGATTACAGATCTTGGTCAATGTTCTGGCATATTTGCCGCTTGTATATCTCATGATCCTGTGTTTGGTGTGTGGTTGGAATTATTTTAAAGAAAGACAAAGATCTAATAGATTGTTAATGGATGTGGAGAAAACTGAAGAGGATTGTAACAGCGACGAAGATGCAGAGAAAAGCGAAACAAATCTTGGCTCTTTTAAATGGTATGTTAGCAAAGCCTGTTTTATGTGATTGCTACTCGTCATGCCAATGATGTGACTGACTGATCACTGACTGACTGACTTATTGATTGATTGATTGATTGATTGATTGTTGATTGATTGTTGATTGATTGATTGACATTTCCACAGAACTTTGAAGGCTTTGACGTTCCCACATCGAAGGCTTTTACCAGAGCGAGGTTAACCATGGTATTGACATACTGGCACGGGCAACTGGACTTCAGTTTAGGCCAGCTTTCAGAATTCCAGAAATTTATTCCAACCAAGGACTGACCATAGCACATGTATCATAGAAGAAAATTTAGATTCAGAGGAGCAGCCAAGCTTTTATATTATTGCCCTTGAAAACATATGCACGGAATCACTTTAAAAGTGAGACTCATTATTTAGTATCAACTGAAAAAATATTGTGGCTCTTTCTTGGCGTTGCAGGGCACGTGAGCCATAAAGAAAATATAAAACAATAGAGGCTTTGCACCGTTTCCCAGTGGGAAAAAACTCTATTATTGTTGATCTTTTCGTGGCTGCCATCATGTGTTGGTGCAAAGCCTCTATTGCCGAGAAAAATGAGTTTGGAGCTAAACAATACTCTACAACTACAAAGAACGCGGCAACGCAGAATCCAATACATCCTGCAACACCAATAAAGACCCAATATTGTTTGGTACACAATATTTTACCTCTTGACAATTGATTAGCAAAGATGAGATCGACAAGAGTGCAACAAAAGCGGTGCACAAGCCAAAGTTAATTTTTCATGTAAGTCAAAATTAGCCATTAATATCGGAATATGGGTTATTGATATCCATGATTTGTTTAAAAAGGTTATTGTAACCATGGGTTATAGGTGAAATGTTATTTTTCCAAGGGAATTAGGGACTCAGATCGATTTAGAAAGGGCGGGGAAGTTCATGGTACCTTTTAGGGTTCCAGATCTTCAATTTGGTACTTCTTAGGGGGTCGTAAATCTAAAAAGACCACCAGAGAGTAAGACGTTACCCCTTAGGGTGTTCGTCGGGTAATAAGATACCTAATATTAAAAAATGACAGCCAGAACGGTAGTCGTAATTCAGTTTCTTTCTTCGGTCATCATCTGACTTCTATCACTTAAGACAATTGGTATCTATAATAGGAGTCATTTTCTCGCCCCATGTAAGGGAATCCGGAATCCGGAGTCCACGAAATTTTAGGCTTTGGAATCCGGAATCCAGCACTCTGGAATCCGGAATCCTGGCCTTGGAATCCGGAATCCACCCTTTTGGAATCCGGAATCCGCTACTTTGAAATTCAAAGTATACACTCAAATGTTATCGCCTCGACCTAGAATGGACCTATGTAGCCCTTCCCCCACTGTGCAATATCTCCACCAAGAATATCTGTCATCAGATGCTGATTTAATTGATAGACGATTCTACTCATATTGGCAAGTATATCAAATATAATTTTCAGAGAAWGTATCTGAAAATTAACGATATGGAATCCGGAATCCGCAATACAAAAGTTTTGGAATCCGGAATCCAGACCCTTGGAATCCGTAATCCAGAGTCTCGGAATCCAGAATCCACCATAAGTCCGGATTCCCTTACATGGGGCGAATTTTCGTTTTCAAAACTCGGACGTCTTTGGGTGTGTTGTAGATTCAAAACTTTAGCAGTATTGCAGTAGTAAGGACTGACTCTATCAGAGTGAACAATAAGTTTTGATGTACATCGCTTAATTCACGCCATAATTAATAGATCACGCGAATCAATGTGGCTGTCAAGCATTTTATCGTCACCGTACGTTTGTTGTAATACGAAAAGCTATAGATTTTCAAGTCCAAATGTAGGCTACCCCTGAAAATTTTAGTTTTGAAGCACCACAGACCCCTGGAGATTTTTGGTCTTCAACAGCGGGGGATGCGCTTATTGAAAATTGAAATTATTAAAAATGTAACATGAACATCAATTTATAGCCCTCTAGTTCGTTGGTCTTCCTTTATAATTGTCACCACAGGAAGCCCAGTCAGGTAATTTATTACTRATAAAACTGTCATGTGTCGAAGTACTTCCGTTTACTTTCACTTTTATGTTCCTATATCTTGAATGATACAGCGCTTCTGGTGTTTTGAAAACCATGCATAGAAGTTTAAAGTCTTTCTTACCGATTGTAGTCCTCATGTGGACAATAGTTGGTGTGGAGCCCACAGATTATGTACATCATATTCAAGTCGCCATGGACGGCCACGATAACACCTCATGTCTTACAAACAGCTCATTTCCGTGTGAAACTCTTGGCTTCGTCTTGGAAAACTTAAATAACTCCACCAACGTTTCTATCAGGAACGGAAATTACACCTTGAACAGGAACTACAACACCTCGAGTTTGGACAATGTGGCTTTTGTAGGCCTGAGTGAGTCTGTGAAAATTGAATGTTCAAAGGGGGTTGGCCTGCAGTTTCGCTTTTGTAATAACTTTGTCTTCCAGCAGTTGTTGTTTGAAGGTTGTGGCCGATTAGAGTATTCATCGCCGTTCCATCCTTATGACACTGAGCACATTTACCAGTTCTATTCAGGAATTTCTTTTAYGTACTGCAAAGATTTGGCTGTGGAAAACTGTACCTTTACAAAGAGTGCTGGTATTAGTCTGGTCCTTTATGATGTGGGCGGAAGTGTGAGCATCATTGACACTCACTTTGTCAATAATACAGCAAAGGGACAATCAAGCAGCTTAGCCGTTCATGAAACAGCAGGTGGAATCTTATTACATTTGACRCAGTTTGGCTCTTTGTATCCATTCAATGACACCAAACATTACATGTATTCTGATGGCAATAACTATACCTTTAAAGGGTGTATCTTTACTCGAAATAAATATATATATGAGGAACACAGCCAATCTCAAGAAACCCCACAACCTTTCGGACATGGTGCAGGGCTGACAGCCTTCTTTTGTGGTTCAGCTAAGAAGAACTCCCTTTTGGTTGACTCTTGTCACTTCTACAACAACACTGGAATTTGGGGTGGAGGAATATTTACCGAATTTCAGAATAAAGCTGAAGGAAATGCTTTAAAGATTGTTGATAGTGAATTTATAGGAAATCTTGCAAAGCATGGCGGTGGAGCAGTGAGGACGGGTAATGACATCGAAAAATATGAATGTCAACAAATGGGAAATACAGTTGAACATATAAGAAATATATTTCAGGACAATTCTGCTGATATGGGTGGGGCGGTGTCTCATTATGGTCGAACATATCTACATAACATCTCTGGGGAATACAAAAACTGGATTCATTTTACAAACTGCTCTTTTTATCATAATATTGCAACTATGGGCACAGCTATTTCAGTTGCTTTAAACAACAAGAATAACTGGATTGAGATGGGTCCTGAGATTCCTTATTGTGTGGTGATAATCAACTGCACAATAGCACACAATGAAGTGAATTACACAAAGGTTGATCAAGGTCGCATAAATGGAATGGGAGTAGTTTATAGCTCCAAAGTGCCAATGATCTTAAGAGGGGAGAATACATTTCAAGATAATCTCTATACAGCCTTGCTTTTGGATAACGCCCCTTTGAAGGTCTTTGACATAACATCATTCACAAGAAATAAGGGCAACAAAGGTGGTGCTTTGGCTTTGTATGGAGTGAGTAGAATGATCATGACTAAAGGCTCAAAAATGAACTTTACAAGAAACCATGCTAGTGAAAATGGTGGAGCAATATATATAGAGGCTCCAGGACCAGAAGTGGGTCCCCAGACAAGGGAACTTCGACGGCATGAGTGTTCCATTGGCTATGAAAATGAAGAGGGAAATTTGGTAAATTTAGACAATGTTCATGAATGGGACACCAATATTGATTTCACAGCAAACTGTGCTCTGCCATCATGGGGTGGTAATTCTATTTATGCCACCACACTACAGTCTTGCTTCTTGGTTAATGAGAGCATTGGAAACAATTCAGCCTTTGCTTGGGAAAACATAACCACATTCAGTGGCCCACTAAACGAGGAAATTTCAACAGATCCAGTAKACATTGCAGTCTATCCATCTGATTGGTTTGTTGCTCCAGGGGAAGTATTTAACCCAAGAGTGCAGCTGTTGGATGAGAGGAACAGTCCAGTTTATGGAGTTATRAAAATAAACATACAAAAAAACGGCAGTGTTCTTGATTCCCTTCATCTGATCCAGTTCATCAAGAATCCAGAAAACCACACAAGCTCTAGTTTCATAAAAGATGTTAAATTGCAAGGGAAAGAGAATAGTGCATTTATTGTTACAATCAGTAGTGTTGGAGGAAAAGCAATTTCAAGATTATTTACACAGAAATTTAAAAAATGTTATGATGGATTTGAGCAGACGTCTGGCAAAGATATCTGTTCATGTATGTCAGGCAAGGTGAATATGCAAGAGGGAGTATATAACTGTAATAGTGATGGTAAACATGTTAACTTAATAGCAGGCTATTGGGGTGGTCAGGTTAAAGGAAAATTTGTCACTTACCCATGCCCACGACACTACTGTAATTTTAGTGATAGTAAGTATGTTTACTCATATGATAATTCTACGATCTGTGCAGATAACAGAATCAATACTCTGTGTGGGGAATGTAAACCAAATTTCACAGTTTCCTTGGGAGGAGAAAAATGTGTACAAACTTCAAGCTGCAGGGAAAAATTTAAGATATCATGGGGGATTCCAATATTCATAGTAGTCACACCAATAGGAGTTTTAATACTTTTGCGTATAAATGTAGATATCTTTACCTCCTACTTAAATTCTTGGCTGTACTTCTATCAGGTTTTACCTTTCGTTTTGAAGCCAGAAACAGTTATGCATCTAGACAAGGGGATGAAAGGGATTTTGGATCTGGTATCTTGGAGGCTGCCAGGAGTTAAGTTGTCATGTTTTGTGAAAAGGTTAGATAATATTGGTAAATTGGGCCTTAACTACTTTTTGCCWTTATACATGTTGGCTATACTAATTGTAATTACATTAGTAGCAAGATGTTCATGCAACTGCTATCAACGAACTAATGTTTTCCGTGCCATCTCATCCATACTTGTTCTTTGCTACACCAATCTGACTTTAATTTCATTCAATGCTGTCCGCTGGGTAAAATTGCAGAAAGATTTTTCAGTGCTTTACATTCAGGGTTCTATAACAGATGAAAAAATTCCTGTTGGTTACTATTTCCTGGTTGTTTTTGCTGTCATTGTCATCCTTTGTTTTGTTGTAGTCTTTCCATTATTGCTACTTTTTAGACCATTCTTCATCAAGAATTGTCGATTCATGACCTATTTTACTCCTCTTTACAACATCTTTCAGCATTGTTTCCAAGACCATCTTGGTTGCTTTTTTTCAGCTTATTATTTCATTTGCCGGATAGCTTTGCTTGTGCTCACGGCTGCTCTGGCAACACCAGGTCCCTATCAAAGGTGCTTTACTGAAATTCTTGTCTTCCTGACTCTTGTAATCTTCGTCTATATGCAGCCATACAGAAATGATTCTCATCTGAGATGGCTGAACACTGTTGATACTATTATCTTGTCATTTCTATGCATCATGGCTTTCATGAGCTCAGCTCAAAATACAGAGGCAGCCCACAAAACAATCRTGGGTATGCAAATATTCATTGAAATATTAGCTTGGTTGCCAATGCTTTATCTTCTTGGGCTGATAATAATAGCCATCAGATATTACAGTAAAAGTGGTCGCACCCCAAGAGATGGGTATCAGGACCTGGATGATCCAACTTCTACATCAGGGACATAATYTAATCATACTACTTTAGAACTCTTTAGCTTGGGTATACTGTTTCCAAATTTCAAACCAGTTGTCATTCTCTTGAGAATAAATACTTTGTTTTATTTGAGTCTTATCCACATCCAYGTGTCTTCTAATGTGCAAATTATGTAGAACTTATGATGACCTGGCCTAAAATTAGAAAAACATGCTGAAGGTAAAGAGTTAACCAGCCAGTCTTTGGACTCACTTCATGTGTGGTAGGGCCCACCAGCATTTTGCATTTTTAAAGCCCCTGTTTCTTGCTATTGTACTTGTAGTCTCATACAAATATAACAACAACAAAATTTTGTTAAAAAATTATTCATCAAAAAACAACAACAACAACAACAACAAACAAACAAATATTAAGTTTAAATGCATGAACAGCCATCATATAAATTAAAACTCGCAGAGGTAATTGAGTATTTTGTGCTATATGGAGAAATTTTGTATTACATAATATATACACTRAATAGTTTGTTATATTTGGTCTTTATAAAAAAAAAAAGTTTAAAAAAAATTGTAAAACAGCTGTAAAACATTTTATATATCGTAATAGAAAATAAGAGCTATGTTTTTTATTAATAAATAGATTATTTTGGTCAATGCATTTCAAGGTCTGAATTTTTGGTGTAAAAATCTGATGTRACAGACAGACTGACTGACAGTATGCGTTTCTGTGGGGAGAGAGAGTAGTAATGTGGTCACAAATGCTTTTCAAAGATGCAACAAAGAGTCCAGAACACCTTGCATTGGGCGTCTCTTCCTCTATTCCTCTAATATCAATTCCCCTCGCATGCTGCATAACATCAAAATTCTCGAAACTGCAATTTTATACCACATTTGCTTTCCAATATCATTTTCGATTCATATCTAAATATTCCGCAGTCAATCTACACAATAGATAGATCACGTTTCAGATGCATAACAAGGTTTCTATCCTATTTATATAAACACTAGTAACTCCAGCTTTACGACAAACTGAATACTTACAGATGTTGTCTTGCTTACGATAACTTTTTATCATCCGTAAAGCTGCTTATATGCTAACACCTGAAGGGGATGAATTAATATTTGAATGGAAATTAAAATAAAAGAAACAACATTTAAAGCATCAAACTGTGCTTTTCACTTTTTACCCAATAAAAGAGCTTGAGCACGGCCAACGCAACTCTCCTTTGGGCTTTCAATTGTCCTAAGTTGCACTCTGCATAGTATTTAAAAATGAGTTTTTAATTTCTTCACATAGCAACCAGCGCGAAACAAACTTTTTGACTTCGAAACAGAAAAAGGCATTTTCAGTTGTAAACCAGTTTCGGCGGTCAGACTACGATCTCGTGCTTCGCATCCTTTTACTACCTGTAAGTTTAGATAAAATCTATTGATTTTCGGGATTTGTTTATTCACACTTTTCTTCAGTTTTGAATGTGGCATAAACCTATTAGCAATCAATAAATATGGCCAGAAAGTAAGTATTTTTTTTAAATGGTCCTCATTTTTTTCAATTTTTTACGACTGAGCCAAATGCAATCTCGTCCGGCTACCATGGTCAGTGTGATAGCAATTTTTTCTATTTCTATTTTCTATTTCAGACGATTTTTTATTTTCTATCGTATGAAAGCATGGATGATAATAGGAGCAGTCCTTTTCATCCATTTAATCAGGCGTATTCAAATTTAAGGCAATATTTTGATCTTTTTGTATATTTATGATGATATAGTAATGATAAAAGGTTAAATTCTACACCCTGAAAAGATGAGAAAACTTACTGACGTTTCGGACGCTAGTCCTTCGTTGGAGTACTACTCCCAGTAAGYTTTAGTACTCCGACGAAGGACTAGCGTCCGAAACGTCAGAAGCTTTTTCATCTTTTCACGGTGTAAAATTTACCCTTTTATCATTACTGTTTCATTAGAAACACCGACGCAGCTCACACTAGTTTTTAGATAGTTATCTCTTTTCATCTTTTCACGGTGTAAAATTTACCCTTTTATCATTACTGTTTCATTAGAAACACCGACGCAGCTCACACTAGTTTTTAGATAGTTATCTCTTTTTATGATGATATAATGAGTGCTCATTAATTTACTGCCTACATAAAATACGCGTTCTGTCATAAAAGTCAAAGAAAAATATTATGAAATTCTCTGACAAATGATTTATTCAGTGAAGACAAACTCAACGAGTTGCGTGACATAAACCAATCAAATAATAGCATTAGAACAGCTAAGTGGCTTCCGAACTWTAAACAGAACACAAGTTTGTTGCAATCATGACTTCAACAATGGCATCACGCAGAAATTGGCCGAAAATTACTAATTATAAGGAAGCTTGGAGTAATCAGAAGGCACCTGATGTAAGCAGTAAATAACAATAATAATATTTTGTTTTTAAAAAGCCCGAAGCGCTATCTTTTCGAAGTTTAAAGTTTGTCTTTACTTTTTTCAGCTTGGTGACTTTGTTGTGTCGCCGGGATTTGCCTATAATATTTCTCGTTTCTACCCAAGTGCTTCTGAACTCAAAGACAAGGAAACATGTMTAAAGTTGATGCAAAAGTTAGGACTGCCTTCTGATCCTATATCTTGGTATCGTCCAGGTAATTTTATTGAATGAAGCTAATGAAGCCTCATTATATTGGCCTTCAAGTTAGTTAACACAAACTTTATATGAAAAATTCTAATTTTAGTCAGAAGTTCGAAAACGTATTCTCCTCGACCACCAAGTGCTCCAGCAACAACAATTCGTAAAAAGATGGAAAGCTATAGCCAGAATCCTGATTTATTTTACACGACAACACATAAAAAAGATTTTGAAGGTGATCATGGTTCTCCCGCCGACAAAACAAGGTATCGAGTTTACCATAGCAACAATATAATTTTATGAATACTTAATTAGCTCGATCTAACACAACTTTTTTTTTGTATTTTACAAGGCCAAAAAGTGCCAAAATGTTTCCAAATCGTGGTGCTATACTAGATACAACTTATCAGTATGAATTCTGCCCAAAACGAACTTCAAAATGTAGTCCAATAAGAGCAGGTACAGCAACGGGAGCCAGAAGAAATAACCCACATCCAACTGAGGTTCGTCATAAAACACTGCTTCTCTTCTCTGTTTACACTAAAAAATTGGTATTTATAATTTCATTGCTTTGGTATTTTTTCTATTACTTTTTAAGATTAAGCTAACCAAGGCTTGAAACATTGTTTAACCCTTCATATACACATTCTTTACCAATTTTTGCATGTGGCAGCTGCGATGGCCGAGTGGTTAAGGCGTTGGACTTGAAATCCAATGGGATCTTCCCGCGCAGGTTCGAACCCTGCTCGCAGCGAYAATATCATTTTTCCATTTCTTAATTCTTTTTTTAAAGCAAGTTTTCTTTAATATGATTATTTTTTCATTGTTTTTAACATTAGCCGTCTTTTATTTTATTCGTAGGGTTTTTTAGTTTGGAGATTCCCAAGCAAGCTTCCTCCTGAGGTCATTGATGACAGTAAAAGCATGGAAGATGTTTGCTATGACCAGCTCAAATCAACATACCAAAATGACTTTACTGGTATTCCACAAGGTAAGAAGTCTGGGATCAATTAACACACGTCTTGAAGTAAATCATGTTATTCGCAATTTGACAATTTTAAAAATTTTTCAGAAAATAGAAAAGCAAAAACAAAAAACAAAACCAAACAAACAAAACTAAACTAAAAAAAAAACAATAACAATAACAAAAACAAAAAAACAAAAAACAAACAAACAAAACAAAAACCAAGCACTTCTATAATAATTAATATTTATTAATATTTATTAATATCAGTACTTTGCAAATTTTTCTTCTTTAAAAAATAGATGATTATAAATAAACATATATTATTAATTATATATTAAACATATTTTTCATAGGAGTACAGATACAAACAGTATTTGATGGTGATGTAAGTGTGAATATTCCTAAGCCCCCATACACTCTGGATTCAACAACAAGGCACACATACCAAAAACCAGACGTTCGGGCGGAGCTTAAATGCAACCTGAGTCGCTATGGATGCAACAAGAACAAGTATAAACCAACAGTGGGAGCAGGTATTTATGAGTATTTAACTTTAATACCAGGCACAAAACACCTTATTAAATTTGGAGGAGTGGGGATTTGGGGGGTAGGGCAGGGGGCATCATAAAGAAATGTTATTGCAAAATTATACATTTCAAAATGCGTTATATATGTCGGTGCAACAATTACTAGTTATAAAATAGTCAAGACATCATTAAGGCATGAACCAAACAAAGACACATCAGGTATTTGCTTTTGTTCCCAATGTTCTGCTCCACTACTATCCACTATTTTGTACAAAATAGCAGCAAGATAGCTGCAATTAGACAATACATCTTTGGTTTTGTTTCACAGATATAAATTATGGCATGCATTTGATAAAAGCAAATTTACAATAACAAAATTAATTTTGGCATTAATTTTTTCATTGTGTATGTTTTTGGAAACAGTTCCTTCTGTCACAGCTACATCACCTTTAATGCACGTCTCTGGCAGAACACAATATACTGATGAATACTACAAAAAAGCTCTCACACAAGTAAGAATAATATGAATATGTTGTAAGAAGTGCCCACTTGAGTAAATATGCAACAGTTTGCAACTGTTCAAAGCTTGCAATATTTCTCATGCTAGCTATGCTCCCTGCATGCATTGCGAGTTGAACAAAAACTACCTCRTATAATGCAAGCTAACATAGATTGTGAGTAGAGGCACTTTTGGTTATCTGACTGTACTGAATTAATGGCATATCAATATACACTACAACTTATTTTATTTTATATCTGTTTACCTCTATTCAACTTAGTTATTTTTTATATGTATATTTTTTATATAATCAGCGTATTTCCATTATCAATCAGCAGCCATACTTTTATTATTATATTTAATATTTACGTAATTTTATATTTTATTAGATTCTAGATACACTGCTATTATTATCCTTATCCTATTTTTTCCAATATTGTGATTTCCCATTTTTCAACATAGCTGTATCCTGGTGATACTATCCGTATTAAGTCTGGGCCAATTCCTGCTTTAGAGGAGTTCCTAAAATATGCAAAGCCACAAGGTGGGTAGAATTATAACTGTGGTTTGTTAAAAGTATACAAACTAAATCAGACTAKTTGGCTATTTGTATCTATAATCTTTATTCATTTATTTGTTCCAGTTTATTCACAAATTTTAGGTAAAACAATTTTGTGTAAAAAAGTTGAAACCAGCATGAATTCCAAAACTTTGGGATCCAAAATTAATTTTATTGAAATGCTGAAACAGCTTCTGGGCTGATCTAAGTCAGGGCACAGGTAACAACAGATTGAGCCATGAACAATCTCTGGACTGATTGAAGTTAGGGTATGGCCAACTCACAAATCAAATTGGAATTCTGCAGTTTGGGAAGTAAGGAAAACAATAACCTGGAACCCCAGAGGCCAGATATGCAAGATAAACAGATACATGTACAGGGGTGGCAGAACTGGGGGTGCCTGGGGTGCACGTGCCCCCCCCCCCCACCAACATTTTTGGGGGGGATCTGGCCCCCCCAAAAAAATATTGTTTCTTAGTCATTGTTTTACGGCGCATTCGTCAGTGTAATCAAACAAAACATTGTCATTATCACATGCTCCCAAAGATTTTTAGCTTCCRCTGCCCCTGATGTAGATCACAGAACCTTTACATGTACACCCAGACTGAAAAAAATCCATTAGTGCAATCCCTTTTTTCTTCCCTTCTTCATTTATAAAACCAATTTGTATTAATTTGTAGATTTTTTTCCTTTGTTAGAAAAAGATGCTTTAATAAAGGAACTGACAAAAATTGCCAAGAATGACAACCGGGAGACAAAGAATCCAGATCGCTTTACTAAATATACTGGGCCTTCCTAGAATCCTAGTTTAGTCATACATTCATTACAGTTTCTTAAGTCTAATGCATTTTGATACTTATTTAAACTTACATGGCTAAAAAAAACATAAACAAACGACACAGAGGTATTGTAGCCTAGATCACAGGACAAGTCTGCTAAGTTTTTTTGTGGAATGTGCACTAAAAACAGACACAGACACAGATTCAGGTTATAAGCCCACCTGTTATAAGCACTCCTGGTTAATATGAGCAAAAGGCAAATGTCCTTCCAGTTATAAGCCCTCCTGGTTTTAAGCCCAGATCTGGAATCTTGTGTTCATTTCATTGATGCACATTATATTGAAAGATTGACTAGGAAAAAAATAAATGTTCCCTCTTTATCCTAAACTCTTTTCTTCATGTGATTAGCCCCCTGAATATAAGCCCTCCTGGTGATA